TTATAGGGCAGCGTAAGGGGAGTGTCTAGGGGTACGCAGAGACTCACGATTGGTGTGCCTCCAGGCTTGGAGGGCTTGCCCTGTGTTGATTGGCCAACTGGTTGTTATGGCCCATAGGCCCTCCCAGGGTGGTTGCTATGCTCTGTGTGTCATTGCTGTGCGCTTGTCCGTCAAGTACACCCAGGGTCGTAAAGCATAGCGCCACCAGCTAACTTTTGATTGGCTCCTTGACACGAGGCAGGCATCTAACTTTCTAGTGTCTAGGACAAGGTCAGACAAGCACGTGTTCGGCCGTTATAGCTGCCGATAGGGGAGCTGATCCCTTCAGTGGGACGTTTGCACAAATGGGCCTCCCAGGCTGACAGACCAAGAAAGCCCCGTTCCTCAAAGGCAGGTCTCTTTTATAGGAAGAAATCACAAGGTTTGGGAGAGGAGACGGGGTTCGGGTACATAACTGGAGTCATAAGTCCTTTGAAGGTCTCTTATCTTTTGGGCCAGATGGTTTCCTGCCTCACCAGTCGGGTCAACATCCCATGGAATGAACTGGTAATTACAGCTATCTTTTTGGTTTCTCAGGGGCTCTCTTTTGTCAATTGTTACATTAACTGGTGGGATAGTCTGCTCTTATCTTCACGACCCCATGGGAGGGTGGCCCTTTGGAAGTTCTTGGTATTTAGTTAGGCTCTTTCGGCCTTGTAAGGCAGGAAATTCCAGGGACTCGAGTCATTGTGGCCTTGGTTAGATTTTTAAGTCAGGCCACCCCTTTTTTTTAAGCCTTCTTATTTTAATTCTTTGTTAATTTTTAAGTCCTTCACAGGTAGATCTATTACTAGTTATCTTGAGGAGTTGCCACACTTATCTTCATGTTGGCTGTAAATATTTGTGCTCCTACCAGTAATGAATGAGTGTTCCCCCAATCCACAACCTTGTCAGTATGATCTGTCATGAGTTTTATTGACTAGATTTTTTGGCCATTTAGACTCTTACAAGTTATAATTTCAAAGTAGGTTTAATTTGAATCCCCCTTATGCTATGGATGCTGAACATTTCCTGTTGTCTCAGCCCTAAGTCACTGTAGCCATGAGGTTCCACCTGAGTGGGGAAGTGTGGATTTTTGAAAGTTCCAGCAACCCAAGTGATAAACACCAAACAAGGGCATCTTGCCATCTTTAGAGAGCTCTCAGTTCTATGCTGCAAAACTGGAGTCTTTCCTTTATTCAGCATCTTCCTGGCTGTTTCCTAACCATGCTTCCATGACCCTGAAGCCATTTCTCTCTCCTCCCATTGACCTCCATCAGAGACCTCCTAACTCTCCCTGTCCTCTCTTGTTACTCACAGACCTAGCCCTCAGCCCTGGTGGAGGCCTATTTGAATGCTTAGTCCTGTAGAGATGCAATCTAGGGGACATTCCCCACTGAGGCCATGCTATTCAATGGCAAATCAGCTAGCATCTGGAATTCAATTCAGACCTGAGCTCCTGGTTACTGGAATTGCTGGAAATTCCCTAATGGAATTTTCCTGGCTGGCTCCCTGACAATTTCCTTAAATGTTTCTTAGTAATTTCTGTTTCTCCTTTTGAGAATTCTGTGTTTTGATCTGTACCACATTTTTAAATGATTGTTTGTTTTCTTGATGTCCATATTTTTTAAGTTCTTTGTGTATTTTAGATATCTGGAGCTGTGTATAGAAGATGCTGTCCTTTGTCAAATAGAAGATATTTATTTACCTGAGGTCATATATAATTGTTGATCTCAATGCCTAACTGTAGCAATTCAAGGCTATTCCCTATACTCTGTTCTATCTGATTCAGTATGTTCAGTCACAGCTTGAGGTCCTTGATCCACTGGGAGTTGAGTTTTATGCAGAATGTTAATTATGGATCAATTTGGACTCTTGCACATGTAATCATACAGTTTGAAAAAAAAAGGAAAACCACCAGTTGTTAAAGATTCTGTCTTTTTCTAGTTTGTTTTTCTGGATTTTTTAAAATCAAAATCAGAGGTCTGTAGATATATGAAATTATCTCCATGCCTTCAACTCAATTTCATTGACCAATATTCCTATTTTCATGCTGTTTTTATTACTATGGCTCTGTAGCTCCATTTAACATCAAGAATGATGATACCTCCAAAAGTTCTTCTATTATTAATTTCATTTTTATATTTTCTTGGAATTTTTGTTTTTCTATAGGAAGCTGAAAATGGTCCTTTGTGGGTTTTTTTGCATTATTTTTTGTCTCCATTTTTATTTAAATTAGAAACAAAATTATTTTACATGTCAATCCCAGTTCACTCTCCCTCCCCTCCTTCCCTGCCCCCCCAACTAACATCCTACCTGTCCCATACACTTTCTGTTCCCAAGGGAGGGTGAAGCCTTCCATGGCGGGTCTTCAGAATCTGTCATATCCTTTGGGATAGGGTCTAGGCCTACCCCCTTGTGTCTAGGGTCAGGGAGTATCCCTCCATGTGGAATGGGCTCCCAAACTCCATTCCTATGATAGGGATAAGTACTAATCTACTACAAAAGGTTCCATAGATTTCTGAGGTTTCCTCACTGACACCCGCATTCATGGGGTCTTGATCAGTCGCATGCTGGTTTCCAAGATATCAGTCTGGGAACCAAGAGTTGCCCGTTGTTCAGGTAGACATTTCCCTAGCACCTGATTTCTCTATTATTGCATCTCTTATTTTGTTCTTCTCTACTCTTCCCCCTACACAACCTTCTTGCTCCTTAATGTCCTCCTCATCCCCCCTCTTCTCCCTTTCTCATTCTCCTAGCTCCCACTCCACTCCCCTCATGCTTCAATTTGCTCAGGAGATCTTGTTCCTTTCTCCTTCTCTGGAGAACCATGCATGTCTCTCTTAGAGTCCCCCTTGTTTCCTATCTTCTCTGACAGTGTGGATTGTGGGCTGCTAATCCTTTGCTCTATGTCTAAAATCTGTATATGAGTGAGTTAATAGGATGTTTGTCTTTTTGTGACTGGGTTACCTTTCTCAGAATGGTTTCTTCCATTTACTTGCAAATTTCAAAATTCCATTGTTTATTTTTGTTTTTGACCCCAGTGAGTAACACTCCACTGTGTAAATGTACCACATTTTCTGTATCCATTCTTCAGTTGAGGGGCATCTACATTGTTTCCAGATTCTGGCTATTACAAATAATGCTGCGATGAACATCACTGAAGAGATGTCCTTGTTGTATGAATGTGCTTCTTTTGGGTATATGCCTAAGAGTGGAATTGCTGGATCTTGTGGGAGACTGATTACCATTTTCCTGAGATATCACCATACTGATTTCCAAAGTGGCTGTGTGAGTTGGCACTCCCCCCAGCAGTGGAAGAGTGTTCCCCCTTCTTCATCTGATTAAGAAATACTCAAGAAAATGGTCCTTTGAAGTTCTGTGAAGAAGTGAATAAATATTTTAGAATTTTGATGGGGATTACATTGAATCTGTAGATTGTTTGGTAGAATAGTCATTTTTACTCTATTAATACTACTGCTCCATGAGTAGAGGGGATTTATCCATTGTCTTAGATCTTCTTCAGTTTCTTTCTTCAATGCTTTCAAATTTTTATCATATAAGATTGTCACTTGTTTGGTCAAAGTTACCCAAAGGTATTTTTTATATGATTTTAAGAGGTATTATTTTTCTGACTAATTTATCAGTCCATGTGTCATTTATTTGTGATAAGGCAACAGATATGTTTGTATAAATTTTGTGTCCTTCTACTTTTTTGAAAGTGTTTATCAGCTGTAGTACTTTATTAGTGCCTGATGTATACATTTGTATCATTTGCATGTATGGATACTTTCACTCATTCCTTTCCTGTTTGCATCCTATTTGATGTCCTTCAGTTGTCATATTGATCTAGCTAAGACTACATATAGCATATTAAATAGTTATTTAAAAAAGTGGGCTGCCTTGTCTTGTTTCTTATTTTAGTGGAAATGTTTGGTGCCTGTGTGTCTTTAGGTTGATGTTGGTTGTGGGCTTGGTTTGAATCATGTCTCTTATTTTGAGATATGACTTTTAGATCTCAAGTTTATCTAGGACTTCTGTCATGAAAGAGTTTTAAATTTTGTTTGATTGGATGATTTTATATTTTTACTTAAAGTCTATTTGTGTGGTCAATTACATTTATTGGTTTGCAAATGTTGAACCAACCCTTCATCTCTGGAAGGAAACCTACTTGAACATGAATAATGTTATTTTTGATGTATTCTTGGATTCAGGTTAAAAGTGTTTTATTGTGACAATCTTTGCCTTTATGCTCATGACAGAAATTTGTCTGTGATTTTCTATATGTGTTGGATCTCTTTGTGGTTTAAGATTCAGAGCACCAATATGGCCTCATAAAAGTAATAATGTTTCTCCTCCTCCTCCCCTTCCTCCTCCTCCTTCTTCTTCTTTTGTAGAATAATTGCAAAAGCATAAGTGTTAATTC